CCCAGAGGTGGGCATTCTATGTGACTGTTCAGGGCAGGTGTTGGTCACTCAGTGGCAGGCGTTCTGTGTGACTGTCTAGGTGGGAGTCATTCACCTAGAGGCAGGCATTCTGTGTGACTGTTCAGGGCGGGTGTTGGTCACCCAGAGGCGGGTGTTCTGTGTGACTGTTCAGGGCAGGTGTTGGTCACCCACAGGCAGGTGTTCTGTGTGACTGACTGTTCAGGGCTGGTGTCGGTCACCCAGAGGCGGGTGTTCTCTGTGACTGTTCAGGGCTGGTGTCTGTCACCCAGAGGCGGGTGTTCTGTGTGACTGTTCAGGGCTGCACCTTTGGCTTTCTCTGGTTGGTCCTAAGTTGGACATGGGAGCAAAAATTAAGGAAAGGGTCAGTTATTAATCAAGTCCTAGACATCTGGGACTGCTGGGGTCACTGTCTGGCCTCCTAGAGTCCCTGCTGCAGTTTGCTCAGCTGCTGCTAGCTTTGAACAACTTCTTTTTTTTTTTTTTTAATTAAATCATAGCTGTGTACATCAATGCAATCATGGGGTACAATGTGCTGGTTTTATATACAATTTGAAATGTTTTCATCAAACTGGTTAACATAGTCTTCACAGCGTTTTCTTAGTTATTGTGTTAAGACATTTATATTCTACATTTAGCAAATTTCGTATGTACCCTTGTAAGATGCACTGTAGGTGTGGTCCCACCAATTACTCTCCCTCCACCCGTCCTCCTCCATCTCTTCCCCTCCCTCTCCCCTTACCCTTCTTCTTGGGCTATAATTGGGTTATACCTTTCATATGAACTTCTTGGACGGTAGAGGACTGCTTGGCCTCTTGGCTGGTGGACACACACTGTGAGGCAGAATTCTGTTTTGATGTGTAGTCCTGCCTTTGTCCCTTTTGTATGTCTGTTCCCTCGGAGGCAAAAGGTCTAAACAGGCGTCCTCAAACTACGGCCCGTGGGCCACATCTGGCCCGCCAGGTGTTTTTGCCACTGCTGCCTGTCCTGCTTAGCAGCTGACTCGTCCGGGGCCTGCAGTCCGGCCCTCCAATGGTCTGAGGGACAGTGAACTGGCCCCCTGTTTAAAAAGTTTGAGGACCCCTGGTCTAAAATTTTTGCTCCTCCACACTGGATGCCCTGTGTGGGCAGTCCTGCCCACCCACTGCCCAGACCACACAGCTGGACCCAGCAGCTTCTCCCAGGTGGCTGGCTCAGCAGAAGGCAGGGCTGGCCCAGTTCCGGGTATTGTTGGAACAGTGTAGGGAAAAGTGCAGGGAGGGAAAACTTGGCTTTTGGGGACAGGGCGATGGAGGACTGAGTCAAGGAGATGGTGCTGTTTATGCTCTGGACAGCCTGAAGGTACAGAGGGCTCAAAATTACGTATGGAAAACAGCTGTCATAGTAGTGGGTCAGACTGTCTCCACTGGCCATGGTTCTTGCCGAACACCAGGCTGTGTTTGCAAAAGCAGCTGGGACAAAGGCAGGCACACGCAGCCTCTGTGCCGTCCATGTGTTTAGGACGTGTCACAAACCGAAATCACTCATGTGGTCTTTTGAATACACAAGTGCCCAGGTACTACCCAGTCTTAGAGCAGCTGGTTCAGTCGGTTAGATTTGATTTCTTTCTAATCTTGTGGTTTTCGCCAGGCCCTGCAAATGACTGATGTATAGCCTGATCTGGAAGCTATCACTTAGGACGAATTATCTTCTTCACATGACACTTACTATACTACATCCTTTAACTACTTCATAATTCTTCTCATCTTTAAGTGTATTGTACATGTTGCTCTTGAGTATTGTATTAGCAACAGCATAATCACACGATAATACATTCTCTGGTTAACACTGATGACGTTATGCTGGAGAGCAAAGCCCGGAGCCCATGTTGGACAATGTCCCTCACCCCATGGGCACGACGGGTGTGTGCAGAACCTCTGGTGACAACTCATTCATTACTTTTCCATACATCATCGTTTGAATTAAATTGCTTAGCAGGGGTCCTCAGACTTTTTAAACAGGGGGCCAGTTCTCTGTCCCTCAGACCATTGGAGGGCCGGTCTATGGGCCCTGGGACTAGTCAGCTGCTAAGCAGGACAGGCAGCGGCAGCAAAAACACCTGGTGGGCCAGATGTGGCCTAGGGGCCGAAGTTTGAGGACGCCTGGCTTAGAGCCACTGTTGTTGTAAAGCTTTTCAACACTGTGGTACACAGAGAGAGAAATCCTTTTTCACAGGTATTGTTAATGGACTGTGTCCAATTTCCTTCCTCTTAAAAAAGGAAAGGTAAATTATCATAAAAATTATTATTGGTTACTATAAAACAAATATAAAATCACATGTACATTTGAATATTCAATACAGATTTAAATAACAGTAATAATAGTAATAAAGCTGCCACTTATTGGGTGGTTACTATTGGCCAGACACTGCTAAATATTTCACCTCTCTTCTAATAAAAATTCCATGAGGTAGGTACTCTTCCTATTTCTAGTTTGTAGATGAGAGAAACTGATTCTTCTCAGAGAATTTAAATAATTTACCTTAAGCCACAGTCTATTAAATGATGCTCAGACTCCAGAGCCTACATTCTTTTTTCTTTTTTTTTGCAATTTTTGGCTGGGGCTGGGGCTGGGTTTGAACCCGCCACCTCTGGCATATGGGGCCAGTGCCCTACTCCTTTGAGCCACAGGTGCCACCCTATTCTTTTTTCTTTTTTTTAATAGAATTTATTTTTAGAATAGTTTTAACCGACCAGAAAAATTTAGAAGACCATGTGTGTTCTCACCACTCAGTAACCTTTGGGTGCTCTCTGTACCCGGCTCCTCAGTCACTGACTCCTTGACATTAGCATGGTATATCCGTTACAGTTTGATACGATTTTATTAACCAAACCTGTATTTACTTAGATGTCCTTCTTTTTACCTAATGTCCTTTCCCTGCTCCAAGATTCTCTCCAGGATGCCCTCACATTTGGCAGCCCTGTCTTCCTCAGCTCCTCAATGACGGTGTCACAGCCCAACCTGGTCCCTCTGCCCACTGAGGAAAGCCAGCACAATGAGATGGCCATG